GCATGCCTTTCAAAAAATTGCATGAATTTTGTGTGATTTTTTTCTTATTTTATACTCAAAAGTAGGCAAGATGTGCATTAGAAATTTGCTTTTATTTTTTATTAACATATTCTGAATTTTTAGACATGGACAGTATAAATATTTAGTTACATTTCGTCCAGTAATTTCAGGAGTGTCAAAATGTTTAAAGTGATTTATTACTAGTACTGAGCAGGTACATTATTAGTTGTGTGCTAGTAGAATCATTTATTTTTTTGGATAGCAATTTTCATTGATTTAAAAAGAAAAAAAAGCATCAAGATAGATACCTGATTTCATGGTATTAAATTTTTATACGACCGCAAAAAAATTTTGTGGTCGTATATTGGTATGACGTTGGCGTCGTCGTCGTCGTCGTCCGGCGTCGTCGTCGTCCGGCGTCGTCGTCCGAATACATATTGGTTTTCGCACTCTAACTTTAGTTTAAGTGAATGGATCTTTTTGAAATTTGACCATAAGGTTAAATACCACAAAAGGAAGGTTGGGATTGATTTTGGGGGTTATGGTACCAACAGTTAAGGAATTAGGGGCCAAAAAGGGGCCAAAAATGAGTATTTTCTAGTTTCCAGACAATAACTGTGGAACGGTGTATGGATCTCTCTGAAATAATACTACAAGTTTCCATACCACAAAGGGATGGTTAGGATTTGCTTTGGGGGGTTATGGCTCAAACCGTTTAGGAATTAGGGGCAAAAAAGGGGGAAAAACAAGGTTGTCCTGGTTAATGGACAAATACTTTAGTACAAAACATAATTTAAAGCAGTGTAAGGGAGATAAATCAAATACATCATTGAAATTATCTCCCTTACACTGCTTTTAAATTATGTTTAAAGTAATGGTTAATGAACAATAAAGATAATCTAAAACAGTGTAAGGGAGGTAATCCAAATACAACGTTTTGGTTACTTCCCTTACACTGCTTTTAAATTATGTTTAAAGAAATGCATATTTATAAAGGAAGACCAGTAAAAATATCTGCAAATGTTTTCATCTTTTTTTTTTACAAAAAAATCCATATGAAAGATTTGACACTATATTTTTATTAATTCTATTATAAAATAGATTAAGTTAGCACTATGGTAAATTTAAATGGGTAATTATGGTTGCCAACTCCATTGGAAATTTGAATTCAGATTATGACCATATCTTGAGGGAAAGAATTTTTTTGGGGGAAAAAGGGGGGGGGGATAAAAAGAAATTGTGGGGGGCCAATTTTTTCTCATTTCAGATTTCAGAAATTAAAAAGAATTATTCTTCAAATATTATTTTTTTTTCAAATTTCAAATATTGAAAAATTTCAAGAAGTAATCTTTAATTGCACAGTATGGCGCATTAGATTTGTAAAATCTTTGATCACATTTATTTATTTGTTATGCCGAATCTAACAGTGTATTTAGATTTTTAATTTTGGGTCCAGTTTTCAAATTGGTCTACATTAATGTCCAAAGGGTCCAAAATTAAACTTTGTTTGATTTTAGCAAAAATTGAATATATGAGGTTCTTTGATATGCTGAATCTAAACATGTATTTAGATTTTTGATTTTTGGCCCAGTTTTCAAGTTGGTCCAAATTGGGGTCCAAAATTAAACTTTGTTTGATTTCAACAAAAATTGAATATATGGGGTTCTTTGATATGCTGAATCTAACCATGTATTTAGATTTTTTATTTGTGGACCCCGTTATCTAATTGGTTCATATTGAGGTCAAAAGGGTCCAAAATTAAACTTTGTTTGATTTCATCTAAAATTGAATTATTGGGGTTCTTTGATATTCCAAATCTAACCGTGTATTTAGGTTTTTAATTTTGGGTCCTGTTTTTTAAATTGGTCTACATTGAGGTCCAAAGGGTCCAAAATTAAACTTAGTTTGATTTTAACAAAAATTGAATTCTTGGGGTTCTTTGATTTGCTGAATCTAAACATGTGTTTAGATTTTTGATTATGGGCCCAGTTTTCAAGTTGGTCCAAGATAGGGTCCAGTATTTAAACTTTGTTTGATTTCAACAAAAATTGAATATATGGGGTTCTTTGATATGCTGAATCTAACCATGAATTTAGAATTTTTATTTGTGGGCCCCGCTATCAAATTGGTTCATATTGAGGTCAAAAGGGTCCAAAATTAAACTTTGTTTGATTTCATCAAAAATTGAATTATTGGGGTTCTTTGATATTCCAAATCTAACCGTGTATTTAGATTTTTAATTTTAAGTCCCGTTTTTTAAATTGGTCTACATTAAGGTCCAAAGGGTCCAAAATTAAACTTAGTTTGATTTTAGCAAAAATTGAATTCTTGGGGTTCTTTGATATGCTGAATCTAAACATGTGTTTAGATTTTTGATTATGGGCCCAGTTTTCAAGTTTGTCCAAGTTGGGGTCCAAAATTAAACTTTGTTTGATTTTAACAAAAATTGAATATATGGGGTTCTTTGATATGCTGAATCTAACCATGTATTTTGATTTTGGACATGGGACCATAATAGGTAAATTAAAAAAATTCAAGTTCTTAGACCACATTCTTTCTGTGTCAGAAACCTATGCTGTGTCAAATATTTAATAACAATCCAAATTCAGAGCTGTATCAAGCTTGAATGTTGTGTCCATACTTGCCCCAACTGTTCAGGGTTCGACCTCTGCGGTCGTATCAAGCTGCGCCCCAGCGAAGCATTTTATTTTAGATACAGGCCTACTGTATTTTATTTAAGATGTAGATCTGAGATTAAGCCAACTTGTATTTTATGAGATTTTCTAGAATAACTGAAATTTGTTCTAAAAGTCATAAAGCATTTTGAGATGTGTGGTCTATAGTACTGTGGTACTACATTTTTAGATTACATGCTTCACTGAAATTAAAGAGCAGATATTATAAAAACTATAGAATTTGCAAAATAGCTAAAAATGCCCATTGAATAGACCAAAATATGTTTTTTAACAAGGATTTCCCTTGGTTATTGATTTAGGGTTATACAGATGGGTGGCCAACTCCAACAGTTTCAATGCATTTACTTATGAATCATTTAACCAATGCTTTTCAAATTTAGATATGTTGTTACTGTCATACTGATGACAAAATGGACGTCAGGTTGGTTATTGATGATTTTCATTTTTGCCATTCAGGAGCTATGATCTTTGATTTACTGGAAAATGGCACTTCATGTCACAGTTCAACCAATGCTTTTTTCATCTTTTGATATGTTGTTACTGATGACAAAATTGAGGAAGATATTGACAATTTTCATTTTTGCCATTCAGGAGTTATGATCCTTGATTGATTGGAAAATGGAATTTTAAATCATTTCCGTGCAATAAGTAAAGAACCTTTCAACCAATACTTTTCAAATTTAGACATGTTGTTACTGATGAGAAATTGAAGGTCAAGTTTGATATTGACAAATGTCACTTTTGGCGTTCAGGAGTTTTTATTATACGACTGCAAAAAAATTTTGCGGTCGTATATTAGTATGACGTTGGCGTCGTCATCGTCGTCCGAAGACACATTGGTTTTCGTACTCTAACTTTAGTTTAAGTGAATGGATCTCTATGAAATTTTACCATAAGGTTCAATACCACAAAAGGAAGGTGGGGATTGATTTTGGGGTTTATGGTACCAATACTTAAGGAATTAGGGGCCAAAAAGGGGCCAAAAATAAGCATTTTTGTAACTTCCAGACATAACTTGTGTGTTAGTGTATGGATCTCTCTGACATTATACCACAAGGTTCCATATCACAAAGGGAATGCTGGGATTGATTTTGGGGGTAATTGCCTCAAATTTTAGGAATTAGGGGCCAAAAAGGGGCAAAAAACAAGCATTTTTTTAGTTTCATGACAATAACTTGTGTGTAAGTGTATGGATCTTTATGAAATTGTACTACAAGGTTCCATATCACAAAGGGAAAGCTGGAATTGAGTTTGGGGGTAATTGCCCAAAATGTTTAGGAATAAGGGGCCAAAAATAAGCATTTTTCTAGTTTCCAGACAATAACTTGTGTTCAAGTGTATGGATCTCTCTGAAATTGTACGGCAATGTACCATACCACAAAGGGAAGGCTGGGATTGAGTTTGGGGGTGATGAATCATAAGGGGGTTCAAAAAATTTGGGGGGGGGGGATTTTTTTTTCCTTTTTTTTCTTTAAAACTTTCCATTTTAAATTGGTTATTTCTGATTTCTGATTTATATATAAAAGCAAATAATAATGATATGGTTTAAATAGGTAAATTAAAAAATTTTAAGTTCTTAGACCACATTCATTCTGTGTCAGAAACCTATGCTGTGTCAAATATTTAATTACAATCCAAATTCAGTGCTGTATCAAGCTTGAATGTTGTGTCCATACTTGCCCCAACTGTTCAGGGTTCGACCTCTGCGGTCGTATCAAGCTGCGCCCCAGCAGAGAGCATTTTATTAGCTTTTACAGTGACACTAGCAAAATGTAATTAAAACCTGGTTTGCTGTCATTTTGACAGCCTCTTGTTTATATATAGTATATATACACCTGTACTATTCATGCTTTTCCAATTATAGCAGTTTGATCAATAGTTCAGATATTGCTTTTAGGATATGTATAAGTCTAGAACGATAATTACACACTACAATAATATCATGTAATCTTTTTTTATTTTGCTTTTTATAGCACAGTTTATTGCAGTTATTTTGTTTATATACCCTTTTTGTCACATTAAGATATAAATTTTTTGTTGTTTGGAAGTGAGATAAATTTGATCAGATTTAGTGGAGGTAATCGAAAGGGAGATGAAATTTTGTTCAAGAGGTGATGAGTGTGTTCAAGTATGTCTGAATATTGCCAATTGGTAGTTATTTGAATTTTAACTTCACCTAATGTAAAGAGAATATGGTAGAGCATTTAATAACAAAATCAAAAAAACTTATTTTAAATACTTGAGTAATTTTTATTTTAATTTGAAAAATATTTTTAATAAACTTACATATCTGTTTCTTTTCAGGGTTCAGCAATTCAGCATTCCCCTATTCCCTCACCCCCATTAGTGCCTGGGTCTCCCAGTTTTCAGCGACACAATCAACCTAGTCAAGAATTATATCAGCATCTACAGAGACTTCATCTCCAGAATCCTATTCGGAATAGTCCACCCTCAGGCAATCAGAGGACAGACTCTCCACCTCAGAGTTATAATCAACTCTTCCAAGTCTTTCCACAGCCTCATCAGAGGAGCAGTCCCCCACCAAATTTAGCAAATTTCCAGAATCTGCAATCTATTCGTGAAGATTCACAGGATCATGCTGATGAGTCACCTCGTTGTGAAAGTGAGGATGAAATGCAAGTTCAAGATAATATCTGTGATAAAAAACAGCAAAAATTTACACAAAAGCCACAAATCAGTATTACCGATACACATGGTCATGTGACTGATGTGACATCGGATAGTGATCCTTCAATGGAGGACTCAGATTCTCACACAGAAACGTCGCATAGTTCACCTGAACGACAGTTTACCACGACAACAACACACAGCTCACAACATCAGCCCTATACAACTACACAGAGTAGATCTCATCAACAGGCAACAACTGTTCACAGTACTCCCGCTCAGCAAGCATCTGATCAACGGACAGGGCATTATCAAACATTCCAGCAGTCAGTACCTTTAAACTGTCGTGTATTTGGTAATATTGTAAATACAAACTTGGCAAACATCCCTGCCGCAGAACCGGTTTGGGACAACACTCAAATAGCATATCTCCAGCAACTACAGCATTCACCATATATTGATGCCAATAGTTTTGTACAGTTTCAAATGAATCAGTTTTACAATGGAGATTTAGTTCATCGCCTTCATTCCCAAGAACCAAGTATCAAATCAAATTCAAACATTAATTTGACTTCAACTCGAACTGTAGAAGACATTCAGTTAGAAATTAAAAGAATCTTATTGAAACGAGAACGAGTAATAGAACGAGAACGTGAGCGAGTCTATCAATGTTCAGACACTGTATTCAAAGTTGAAAACTCTGACGTAGAATTAGAATTAGAGGTATGTGAGGGGGTTACATATAATGGATTACAGGTACGACGGATCTCCGGCGATAAAGGACAATACACTCAGCTTTGTGAAGAATTACTGTCTGGCATCAACTTATAACAGTAGTATATGGTATAAATAAACATTAAATTATAACAGTATACATCATACAAATCCTGTATCTGTAGGAACTTTTCCATTTTTATTTTATTAATGTCAGTAGTGTGCTTTACTAAATGGAAACAAGAAGTTCAGTTATTTTTTCTGTCATCATGAAAAGGTGGTCCACAAAAAAATGGGAATTTGAACATATCTCATATTTCCATAAAACATGTAAAATGTTCCAGTTTTTTTATAAATCTAAAGAATAAATACATAGTTGTACATCAGCATTGTAGATTTGTCTATACCAGTTATTCTATATCTGAATCGTTGTATTCAAATTATTGATCTTTTAGTTCAGTAACTTCCTTCATTATTTTAAGCCATAAAAGAATAAAAAAAACCTTGCCAAGTGGTCCTAAAAGATGGTAGTTCCAGGAAATTCCATTAAATGAAACAAAACATTTTTTTAAAATAAAGAAAATTTGAAAGCAAAGTGTTTCGTGTAAAGTAGAATTTTGTTAGTTGGGTTTAATTTCCCATAATATAACATTTCCAAAAGATTAAACACAATGATTGCATTTAAAAATGTTGTGAACACTTTTTTCAATGGCTTCATATGCAATTCCTTATCTGTTCTTGAAGAAATTGTTAAAATTTATTTGGCATCTTAAATTAATAAATAAAAGGAACTAAAACTTCTGGAACTCATTCAAATTGTACAGATCTTACCCCTACAGTTAGTTGGATCATGGAAGTATTATATTGACAGGAACTCCAACGAAAAATTAGCACATTCCCATCCCACTGATTTCTTTAAGAAAATAAAAGGTTCCGACTCAGTTTGTCAAGTACGTGATAACTCCTTTGTGGGGTATCTGTGATGCCGCCTTCGCCTGTTCTGTTAACTGAAGCTGTTCTTATCACGTGATTTGGTATCGAGTGTCTTATCTACCTACCAATGTAAATAAACACGGAAACTCCCGTGGTTATTTGTAAATCGCTACATGAATAACGACACCTGTTTCTGTTCAATAAATGAAGGCAAAAGCTGAAAAGATCTAAAAAATCGGTCCATATTTAACAGAATGACAAAAGAAAATTAAGTGCATTCGGAAAGAGGGCAAGCTTATTTTTGGTTTTGTTTAATATGTTTTAATCAATGAAACTTGGAAATCGGGAAATATCCGATATTAAAAATTACATGTACCTAAAGTCAGGTGTTTGCGGAAAATAATGTGATGCGCGAGTAGTGTGTAAGATGGCGAAGGATAGCTCAAATTTAAGTTAAAGGTTGTAAATTTTAATCGAATGTTACAAGAATATTTATGGTTTTCTCTATCGTCTCAATGAAGAAAAATGTTATTAACGTATTTATCAAATATGTTTTAAAGACTAAAAGAGGTTAATAATTACACGCTCGTGATGACCTTTACATAGCATTATCAGGTTACGAGACAGATGAATTGTTACACCTTTTATTATAATTTCAAAGTTATAATCAACCTAGTCCGAGATTACTCTGACGTTTGACAGATTTTTTTTACGAATGGCTTTAAATATTTCTGGATGCATTTAAAGAACGATCACCATGATGGGCCCTCAGCAGTATAATGTTTTTTTTATTCTTAAAATTTTATCATGTGAACCAAATTTGAATCATTTTATTTATGTGTGTAAATGCTTAACAGTTCTGAAACAAGTTACACCGTATGTTAAGCAATTTATGTTTTTGTTTCTTGTTGATCTGCATGAAATATTTGCCATTTGACTTTCGGTAAACAATTTAGCAAAATATTTGATATTTTTTCCGAACAAAGCCCTTTAACCTCCCTCGGCCCCCGCCGCTATGAACTAACTTTTGAATTAAATTTTTGTTGGAAATTCTTTCAGTAAACACTTAATTAAAATATTTGTCAAAGTTAGCAGTAAAACGCGATAATAATTGCTGATAAAAACTTTTCCGTTTACTTTTTATAAGAATTTTATGATTTTCAAGCCTAGCATGTATATAACAGTTACTGATGCGTGTTTAGCAAACGACCCTCTCATGAATAAAAAAATCTTACTATTTAGATTGATTGTAACTTAAACTGAAATTTTTATGGCTTTGAGTATTTTTACTCTTCAGTTATTTTTGGTGAAAACAGTTGCAGGGATTTCGTTTCTTTCTTTTTATTTGTTTTTACGCAGCAAAACCCGTCATTTCCTTGACAATTAAGTACACATCCGGTTATTTTGGTATGTTCCGTAATTACGATCAATCACGAGGTTCCAAAAATTTGATCGGAACCCATGCATCCATATGACATGTCGAGTTAATTAACAGATACTTGACGATTTTGCGGCATCGCACTATAAACGTTTGAAGTCTGTTTGTTGGAGTTCCTGTCAATATAATACTTCCATGGTTGGATGCATGCTTGTTTTCAATATGAATTTAATTTTGATCTCAGTTAAGCCAAAATTTTCCACAGAATGTTTACATTTAAAGTTTATGTACATACTATTAAGTTGAATGACTTCCATTTTGATAACCTTCATCTGACATACTTCTGATTCATTCTTTCTTTTCCTAAAATACTGTTTTATTTTTTGTTTAAAAAAAAAAAATTATTTTGTAAAAAATTGCACCTTCTAAATAAGTTTTCAGTTTTGAAATGTCAATGAAATAAGTTAAGAATAATCCAATAGTTATGAGTTAACCAAAAAAAAATTTATGAAATTTTTTATCTTTTTTTTTTGATAAACAGTCTTATGTCTTAACAGTCAAGCATTGTTGGCTAAAAACTGTTCTGTTGATATATTGTCTGATGGTACATCTTGTTTTTAACTGAAGACAAGAGGCTTTTATGCACTTTAATGTGGCTTGCTCAGGTGATTTTTGTCTATGACTGGTATACTTAATACAAATCAATATATAATAGGGCTAGCAAATAATGAACTGCAAAATAGCTCCATCTAGTATTTGCTAACACTGCTAAATGTATGTTGAACATTCCATTTTTCACTCTACAAAGTTTGTGTAAAAAATTCCCCCTCATTGTTTGTTAATGCAGTTTTATACTCAGCTGATCTTTATCAATTTATATTTTTTACAAAGGCATTATTTCAGAATTATTTGGTCTGTAACCGTGTTTCTGGTTCCCTGTTCAGCCAAAAAAAAAATCTTACAACTGTGATGGGTTGTATCTATGCTAACTGCTTTAAAGAATTGTGTGATAAAATGCAAGTAGTTATGTAAATGAATGTCACACATGATATTGAATGAATAACAAAATGTTTTTAAAAGGTTGCTTTTCTTTACCATTGTTTTTTTAGAACAAAAAACAATTGAGTTTTGATTCTCCCTGTAGTACTGTCAGATCTGATCGTTGAAACTGGTCGTGGTTGTACCACTATTAATCTTGTATATATGTGATGTATGTTTTATCGTACTATTGTCTTTCTCAGTGTGAATGTACTTTGTGAACATGATGGATAGAAGTGGTATATGATGTCAGCTTTAAAATACAGTAGACTCTTGTTACCTCATACTCAAAAGAAAAATTGTCACATAACTTAAATCAAAATTTAGGACTGTCTTCTATTAGTCTGATATTACTTGTGAAAATAAGGATTCCTTTGGATTTGATGTAACTAGAGACTGATAATAAAGGTACAAATGAGTGTTCAATGAATAGTCAGTTTTCTGAGATACATGTATAGTGACATTTGGGATATTGTTCAGTAGTTTTTTTGCAAAGGTCTTGCAATGTTTTGAATGTATGCTATTTTTCCTATTAATTTAAGATGAAGTGGAAAAAATATCAGTACTGTTAGTTGTTCTGTAATTGAAACAATAATTTTATTCAAAAGAAATTTTAGCTATTTGATATGTAAGCTCACCTGGCACAATCAAAGCTTTCTCATCACTTATTGTCCATTGTCTCCCTGTTGTTAACTTTTTCAAAAAGCCACTGTGAAAATCTGAAGCTAAGTCGACATTAACTGTCTGCTGTTTGTTGATAGACAATAAAACAACAACACTGTTCAGAAAAATTTACCATTTTTAAAAACTTTTATGAGGTTTTTTGATACATGTAAATTATGATACACTTTATTAAATTAAATTGATATGATCAACTTTATTAAGTATGAAATAATGCATTTATACACTACAAACTCTATAAAACAGGGCAGTAGTTCCAATACTTTGATGGTTACAGGATAGAATTTTTATAGTAATGTTTTACCAAAATATGTACAGGAACAACATGATTGATCTTGCATTATCATCCATTGTTGGGGTTTCATAGAAAATGCAAGTATCAAATTTAAGAATTTACAGTAGGTATTAGTATGGTATCTTGGTAATTCCAGCTAACTGCACCAGACAGAACTTTCATTATCTGAATATTGGTGCAAAGGTTTTATGTATTACATATTGGTGCCCCAATGGCTGCTGATAGCAAGTTAATTTGATTTGTTTTTTCTCTCAAAATTATTTTTTAATGAATAGCATAGACTTTAAAGGGAATTGCTATAACAAAGCTTCTCCTCTGAAACATTTAAGGCCCACAAGAATTTTGTATGTCTGTCTATTGCGATTTTTGTTACAAATACCATTTGCATCATATTTTTTTCCTGAAAATGCCCATATATATATATATATATATATAATCTGTACAAATATTTTGGAAAAATGAAATCATTTTACAACCTACTTGACTTCTTTTTTTATACTTGTGCAACTCAAAAAAAAATTCTGTGACTTATTATTTCAAACCAAAACTGGCAAAAATAACACATGAGGTTGTGATCGCAAGGTAAGCAATTTAAGCTCCATGAAACTTAGATATTTTTATTTTCATGGTATAAACTTTTCAATAAGTTTGTTGTAAGGACCAAATGACCAAGAAGAAAATGGAAGTCCTTAAATGAGTTTCACATTGAAAAGTAATATATATGAATCCTGGGAAGAAAGCTAATTTGTTAGTGTTAAAGTATAGCTTCATTAAGTTCATTTACTAGAACATTCATGAAATTCAAATAATATTTGTAGGTCTGACTTCAGAGCTTGAGAAGCTGTTATGAGCTTTTTTTATATAAAATTCATAGAAAGAAAAAATTATGAACAAGAAATAATGTACTAAAACTGATTTTGTGAATGAATGTCCTCAACTGAAATGGTAAATTATTAGTGCTACCCATATCCTTAGTTATTTATGTGAGAGTGGTCAAGTATGCATATTTGTTATTGTTAAACTTTTACTATTTTTATGTAAATTGTTTTGATATATATTGTTATAGAATTTTGTGCTTGTACAAATATCAAAAGATTCTTAAATTTTAAAGTATTTATTATTGAACATC